AAATAGAAGCAAAACTATTTTTGATTATCAAGAAAACACTTGTCTGCATTTGTGGATCCATCAGCCTCCAGATGGAAGAGGAGGAAGGAGGAAAACTGAAAATCTGTGATGCAGTGTGCACATGCTTCAGAGCAAAATAAGCATGGACAGTCTGGGAAGGAAACATTAGAACCATAGAACCATAGAATAGTTAGGGTTGGAAAGGACCTTAAGATCATCTAGTTCCAGCCCTCCTGCCATGGGCAGGGACATCTCACACTGAACCATGTCACCCAAGGCTTTGTCCAACCTGGCCTTGAACACCATCAGGGATGGAGCATTCACAACTTCCCTGGACAAGCCATTCCAGTGCCTCACCACCCTAACAGGAAAGAATTTCCTCCTTATATCCAATCTAAATTTCCCCTGTTTAAGTTTTAACCCATTACCCCTTGTCCTGTCACTACAGTCCCTAATGAAGAGTCCCGCCCCAGCATCCCTATAAGCCCCCTTCAGATACTGGAAGGCTTTCTCAGCCTGTCTTCCTATGGGAGGTGCTCCAGTCCCCTGATCATCCTCATGGCCCTCCTCTGGACTTGTTCCAACAGATCCATGTCCTTTTTATGTTGAAGACACCAGAACTGCACACAATACTCCAAGTGAGGTCTCACGAGAGCAGAATAAAGGGGCAGGATCACCTCCTTCGACCTGCTGGTCACGCTCCTTTTGATGCAGCCCAGGATGAGATTGGCTTTCTGGGCTACAAGCGCACACTGAAGGCAGCTCATGTTGATTTTCTCATTGACCAACACCCCCAAGTCCTTCTCCGCAGGGCTGCTCTGAATCTCTTCTCTGCCCAACCTCTCGCTGTGCCTGGGATTGCTCTGACCCAGGTGTAGGAACTTGAGCTTGGCATGGTTAAACTTCATGAGTTTGGCATCAGCCCACCTCACAAGCGTGTCAAGGTCCCTCTGGGTGGCATTCCTTCCCTCCAGCGTATCAACCGAACCACACAGCTTGGTGTCATCGGCAAACTTGCTGAGGGTGCACTCAATCCCACTGTCCATGTCAGCAACGAAGATGTTAAATGAGACCGGTCCCAACACCGATCCCTGAGGGACACCACTCGTTAGTGGTCTCCAGCTGGACATTGAGCCATTGACCCCAACTCTCTGCATGTGGGAAAGAAGGGAAAGCAGGGAAAGAAGAGTATAAGACAAAAGCTAGAATGTATTCAGCGTTGTTTACTGGAAGGGGGACAAGTGAAAGAGTCTAACTGAAAATGCTGTAAAGATATTCTGATTATATAGATTTGGTAGAAATTTTCAGCTTTTCCACTGCATGTGGTAAAACTCTTCAACTGTAATTACTCTAAACAGCTACCTTTTCAATTCTGTTTGTACTTTTGTGACTTTATTCCACCCCAGCATCCCTTTCCCTTTTCTGGCAGCGGCCTGCCTGCCTGCCCACCATGGTGGGTGCAGTCCCCTCACTGGTGTTTGCTGCCTGCTGTGCCCTGAGCCTGGTGTGGGGAGCCCAGCAAACACTTCCAGACTCCATGATGCTGCTGCGATCTTACTGCTCACTAATCGAGACAAAAGTAGTGGCTGCTGGGGATGCAATCACACAGTTGAGTCTGCAGGTTTGGAGTCTGGCCTGTGAATGTCTTCTGTAATTAGTACCTGCATTGGTATTCTAGATCAAAATACAAAAGGACTTTTAGCCAGTGATTCTAAATCACTTGGTAGCTAATACAGGTGAAGAGGTTTTTAACATCGATCTGCAGTGCTACCCGCTGTAGTTTTCATCTTTCATTTGAATAGATTCCAGATTATTTCAGTTTGCGTGTATCTTCATGCACATAAAATTTTTTTGGTTATAAAACCAGATTTATTGAGAGCCATTCTGAACAGGTAATAAGTTTTTAACTCCTGTATAGATTTGTTCAGGTTTTGGAGGGTCTTTTTTAGTATTCAGGGTGTGTTTTTTGCAGAAAATGTAGGAAAGTTGTAAAAGCATGAATAAAATATAATGGCGTAAAAATCCTTTTTTGTTCATGTCAGTTATGCAAGAGGTATGTCACAAGCCATGATGTCAGTATCTCTACGGCCATTTTCTTCATGTTCTGTTAAAAATATTCCTTTCGTATCCACCTGCATTGTTTATTAAAGTGAATAAGCCTAAAATGCTGTCCTGAATGCAGAAGACTACATGTCTATATGCTGTGCCTGTAAGGTAAAGGCATCGCAATATTGCATCATTTAAGTAAGGCTATTCCTTCTGCAGCCTCCAGGAAATCTCAGCCGTGGGCAGTGTATAAAGTAGTGTCTGCATTCTGCTACACTGATATTTAGCATGCAGATGCAATGTGACATGTACAAGCTTTAGGGGGTAAAATCTTAAATTATAAATACTTATATAATAATAAAATATGTGCATATTCCCTGTGTCCAATACCAGGTAGTCCCGGTTGACTGTTAATGATAGTTTTACTTCTGTTGCTGGGGTAAGCAGGTCTCTGTTTTGGGAGTTGGGAAGAGTTTCCTCTGTTTGTAGTTTACATTGTTTAGTTTAGTCCATGTTTGTACGTTGCCTCTGTACTTCAGGAAGGAGTGTTTTTAATGAGTTGTGTTTGCCAAGGTAATAAAATCCTCCTGTTGGGGAAACAGCCTGGAAGCCAGCTTCGATGTTGTATCAGAGACCAGTTCATGCTGTCAGGTGGATGCAGTCCAGTGTTCTCTGCCCTTGAGTGTTGTGCAGACGCAGGACCACCTCCTGGCTGGCAAGCACACAGAAACAACTGCCAGCATGATGGGAAGGAAGCACAAGGAAATACTGTAACTAGAGTCTTAAACCCTGTAAGACTCTGTATAAAGGCATGCAGAAGGAATTTGCATTACCAGCAGAAGAAAATCGCATGTGAACACTTCGGGCTTCTAGTTTTCTAAAAGGATCTAGATGAAACATTGCGCAGTGTGTTTCCAAGGCCTCCAGGCAATTACTTAGATATCAGAGTAAAGCTTATAATTGGAATATGGCGAGGATGAAAGGACAGAGTTAGGAACAAACTCAGTTTATAAAATTAAATGATTGCATAATAATCCTTTTGCATGAAATGAAATATCAATAAATGCAGCCAAGCTACGCATTACTTGTATATCCGTGTTTTTAATTGTAATGTCATTTTCCTGTTGCCACATGTTCACCAGTTCTCTCGCTAAGGGTGAGTTTTGAACAACTAATTGTGTGTTTATATAGCTTTCCATAAAAAGATGCAAATTTGTCATCTGAAGTTTGCAACTTGCCAGAAGGCTCCTTTTCCTTTAGGGAATATCTTACTTTGACTTGTTAATCATACCAAAACCATTGCAAACAGCTAAGCACAAGGTGTCCTTGGAAAATCAGATTATTTATTTTCTTAATAACAGTTTTCCCCCACAAAGCTAAGCATCATGAAGGGATTTTTTTGAAGAAATGGCAGTGGTTTTCAGCAGTAAAGCTTGAACTTGGTCATTAGCAAAACTTGTGTCAGCATTTTGAGAAGCTTTTTTGGACTCCAGTCTTAAACTCTGCCTCCTCTTTTGGGGAAGTTATGAACTCTAACCTTTCATATGATGGTTGAGTGGATACAGAGAATGGGAACTATCTCATGCATAAAGTTGGTCATGTCAAAACACATGCCTAACCATGGAGAAAAATGTCTTGAAGTTTAAGTTATTGTTGCCTCTCCCGTAAAACTGGGCAAGCCAGATGTCCGCTTTGTTAACTTGGTTTCTGTATGAGCACTCAACAAAATTGCTTTCTTAATAAAAACCATTGTTGTTGATGCTGGGCTGAGCCGTTAGGTAAGATCTGAACACTTGTTTGTCAAAACTGATCTGCACTAAATGCACAAAAGTCATTTTTGTGAAAGTGAAGTTGAACTTTTTGTGAGTTACCAAGCAATCACTTCCTTGCCCTGTAGGCTCAAGCTCAGGGGCTATATGACCTGCAGCCCTCTGTTCCAGAAATGGACTTCACTGAATCTTTCCTAGTATAAAGCATGTTGTAGAAATATCTCTTCTGAAGAACAACTGAAATTGGTTTTCCTCAAACATTTCCATCCTTAATTTCCAAATGCTCTAATACGTCAACAGTGAAGACTTATTTTTGCCAATGACAGTGACATGGTAATGTTGGAGGAAAGTCCCTGTATACAAGAAAAGGCTGCATCTATTAGCTCTACTCAGTACAGAGTTCAGAAATGTTTCCATATACTTGCTGATCTGTGCCAGATTAGGTACACAGGCACACACACCCCTGCCTACTGCTGCGTAAATGCAGACAGCCTTCAAAGTTGAATTTAGAAACTATTGTTTTAAGTGAGACCTAAAGCTGGCAGCCCAGCTTCTGAAATCTGTAGGTGGACTATGCTAAACTCTCCTTATTTAGGTGTTTTTCTCAGGTGATGAAAACTAGTAAGCATGCTTGTTTCAGAGGAGTGGTAACTGACTAGTATGTTTTAACAAGCAGGAGCTTTACAACTTGTTTTGAAGTCATGGTTTGTGATTAAATGATTGCCTTGGGCTTGATTGGCATTCGCATACAAGTGCCAGAAGAAAGATGATCTTGACTTGGTTGAATTCAGGGAAATGTGAGGATTGAGGAAGCTTATTAAGAGATTTCCATTTTGACTATGATCTTCTCACTGTATGGACAGTCCTGCTGTGTATAGGGATTCCAATAACATCCATTTTAAATAGAAGAAAGATTTACTTTGCATTAGTCATGGTGGTTCTTCAGATGCTGCACAACAGTGTGTTATGCTTCCAGATTGAATGGAAAAAGCCCACATCAATGTGTCACACTGCTCAATGTACATTAGACAAGTAGATCTCGGGTGCATAGTGTTAGGTTAAATTACAGCAGGGACTTATTCAGCACAGTTGCTTTCTGCTCATGCCTTTTGGTAATGACATTAAACGCCATTCGGTCTTAGCTGGGTGCATCTGGATTAACATCAATGCATTCTCTTGTTATAGGAGCAGCTTACTGCCAGTTCATGGACATGTTGTTCCCAGGGTGCATTAGTTTGAAGAAAGTAAAGTTTCAAGCAAAGCTGGAGCATGAATACATTCACAACTTCAAACTTCTGCAAGCATCGTTTAAAAGAATGAATGTGGATAAGGTAGGCATTCTACAATCACCCATTGTATTTCAGTCATTACAAGTTTTGAAAGTTGTATAAACTGGGTAATATAGGGGAAACAAACTTCAATACTTTAAGTCCATTGTTCAAATTTTGGACTGGGAACTACAGCTACAAGTTGTATGTGAAGTTATTCTTGACCTTGTATCATCTGAAAATGTTATTTAGCTATGAAGGAAGAAATTTGGCATGCTTCATTTAAATACAGACTGGAAATTGCGTCCATGTGTCTGCTGAGGAATTGTGCAGTTTAACCTGTTATATTTTAATATCAGAGACCCTTTTGATAAAATACCATGTGTTAGAAATTTCTTGCTATCAGTGAACCTTAATTTTAGATGCAGTAAAAATACTGACGACCTGAATTTCTAACAAAATAACTTGGAAATATTCTGTTCTAATTATTCTGTCTCTTTTCTAAAACCAAGTTTAAGGAATTTAAATTTTCCAAGAACTGAAATAATTTACCCAGTGATTCAGTAGGTTGGACAGCACATGCAATCTTGTAAAGTTAAGAAGCCTCTTAGAAAATGGCTTGTTCAACCATAAGGTATTGGCTTATGTTTGAATGAGAGTTTGATGGACTCACCAATATTAATTACTGTGTTGATCAAAATGAATAATGAAAGCTGTGTGGTCATACTTTTATTTTTACACTGCCTGTCTCTGCTCTGGCATTTAGTGATGCCTTATTCTGAAATTTAAACAGTCTTAATAGAGAATCCTGTAAGATTTTTATAAAGCACTGGAAAGCCCTCATTGTTTCATGAAATGTTGTGAATGCCTCTATTTACAGGGTAATTTGCTAGTGAAAAATTGAAAAGCTTAATAAAGTTAACATAATGACGTTAACATTGTCAGTTTTTCTGTAGGGAGCAAACTTACTATGCCTTCGCAATGTAGAAATAAGATACAAATGGAACAACCTGAAAGGGCATGCAAAATGCTATGTTAATCCTTGTAGGAGTATTTTAGACTTACGAAATGCTGCACAGTTTGCTTAACCTTGAGCAAAAGTTAGAATTGCAATGGGTTTAGATACCCTTTTTCCAACTGAAAAATGAATGCATTCAGGAGGCATTAAGGTCCATCTAACTTGGCTCTTTAACCAGCTGCATGAATTAAGCAAAGCAAGGCAACCATCCTTCTGCAGTTGTAGTCCCTGTCTACCCACAGCGTCTGAGAACCTTAAGCTTCGTAATATTGCCCCAAGACACCTTTTGGAGGTTTCATTTCTCTGAAGAATTTGCAGGATATGGAGACATCTTTATAGCCTTTCTTTTACTAAAACTTTATAGGCATTTTGGTCAGATTCTGCATGCCCACAAAGTGTTCTATGTATAGCTATATATAGAATGGAAAAAAATTACAAGTTTAAAATCTCAGGGTTAGTTTGTATGATGAACACATGCTACCAAAATGTAGGTTGGTTTGAACTTCAGCATATCTTGGGAAAGCTCTTGGGTTTTTGTAATTCAAATAATAGGACAGAGAGCAAGAAACTCCTGTCTGCACGTTTTGAAGAATTATTATTTTTTAGTATGACAAACTGTAGCATGTCCATTAGAAACAAAAATCCCTGTTTAGCAGAATATAGTTTTACTCCCAGAACAGTTTCATTCACGTTGGCTGTCACTGCCACTGTCAAGGGAAATAAGAAAAGAGTGACTCTATGGAAGAGCTGTTTAAAGGCTTACATTCACCCACTGTATGGTCATCTCTCAGGCTGGGTCTTTGTTTTATTTTGGTTTTGTTTCCTATTAAGAGTGCTTGCAAATCTACCATAATTCCATTTCTTTTAGGAAGAAAACAATGATATAGTTGGTAGATTTATTCAAGCAAGTGGGTATATGTAACGTTTATACTTAAAAATGTCAGTGATACATTGTTAGAACCTTTATTCTGCCTTTCAGGTAATTCCTGTGGAAAAACTGGTCAAAGGGCGTTTCCAAGACAACTTAGATTTCATTCAATGGTTTAAGAAGTTCTTTGACGCTAACTATGATGGGAAGGAGTACGATCCTGTGGAAGCTCGACAAGGCCAAGATGCTCTTCCCCCACCAGATCCCGGTGAACAGATCTTCAACCTGCCCAAGAAGTCTCATCATGCAAACTCTCCAACTGCAGGTAATTTGCGTCCTAAAGAATTCCATTTCCGTCTCTGAAGACAATTACACACTGTGATCTATTTTACAGAAATACTAGTTAAAAATTATTTCCTTGTGTGGGTGGGCCATTCTTTTTGCCTTGGCTTAGGCTTAGCGTCTCAGTTGGCAGAAGTTAACTTCTTGTGGTGCAATCTTGTTTGGTCCAGCTGTAGTGAGCATAGGGTCTCCTCCGCTAAACCCTTGATGTAAATGTTGTGGGTTCTAATGATACCTGATAGTGGAGACAAATGCATTTAATCTTCTTGTTGCTGGGTGTGGTATGTGTAAGTGTATTCTAGATCATTAAATGGAGTATGTTCTTCCCTCACACCTCTACCCTTACAGGAAATTGCTAGCGCAGACTGATTTCTTTTTTATTATTTATGGTGGGTGAGATGCTTCCAATCTTAAGGGCTGACCAGAAGGAAAAAAATATTGATTTATTGATTTGTGGTTTTATATGCTTAGTGTTCAGGTATGCAAGCCCTCTGAAGTGAACAATATACAGCTATTGCTCTTCCTAAAAAACACCTCTCTCTTGCAAGTTTTTATTTTGGGTCTGTACTGGGTTTTGCTAGGTCAGAGTTAGCTTTCTTCACAGGTGATTGTATGGTGCTGCGTTTCGGAGTTGTGACCAAAATAGTGTTGGTAAGACATGGAAGTTTCAGTTACTGCTTACACAGTCAAGGCCTTTTCTGTCCCTCACACCACCCCACCAGTGAGAAAGCTGGAGGTGCACAAGAAGTTGGGAGGGGACCCAGCACAGACAGCTGACCCCAACTGACCAAAAGGGTATCCCGTACCATATAATGTCGTGTTCAGTAATAATAGCTGGGGAAAGGAGGAAGCAGGGGGGAATGTTGAAAGTGGCAGTGTTGGTCTTCCCAAGTAACCATCACATGTGATGGAGGCCTGCTTTCCTGGACATGGCCTGCCAACAGGAAGTGGTGAATTAATTCCTTATCTTGTTTCGCTTGTGTGCATTACGTCTTAAACTGTCTTTGTCCCAACCAGTGAATTTTCTCACCTTTACCCTTCTCATTTTCTCTACCATCCTACCCGGGGACAGTGAGCAAGTGGCTCTGGGGGCTCAGCTGTATACTGGGGTTAAACCACAACAGGGTTTCTGGAACAAGCCAAAGGGCTAAACCTGATCTTTGGTGTTTGTGTAACATGGGCATGACTGGTGAGTAAGTAGATGCCATTTTTTGATACCTGAGTTAAATGAACAGAAGAGCAGCTAATGTTTTTCTAACAGAATGATCACCAAAGAATCATTACTGGGATTGATTGCCTGTATGTGTATAGGTTTGTGCTTATAGATGTGTGCATGTGTGTTTCTGTATGCACAAACACTTTATTCCTTGAATGGTTTGTCCTGGGTTTACCTTCATGCTAACCCATTCCCCAAGTAAGGATTAATTTTCATTTCACTTAAATCTGTGACCTGTCTTCTCATGGGCTCAGATATGCACCAGTGCTGGCAAAGAGAAGGGGTAGGTATAAGGCACTTGCAGTTTTAGGCTGGCTTATGCTCTGGAATACCCAGATTTCAGCATTCTGTTCTGGTCACTTCTGACGTCAAAGTGGGACATACTTGGCCAGCTGAATTCAGCTCATTAGTGCTTCCAGGAAACTGAGCACCTAATAGCAGGTCAGCACTGCTCTGGGCTTCTAAAGCTTGTTTACATCTTTGTTTTGCACCATCTTGTGTCTCAACTTTTGAATTTCAAGGCCTGGCATGCTATAATTTCCCATGTGATGTCTTGCACTCCCTTTGAAAATAGGAAAACCCAAGTGCTAATGTCATGATTGAGAAATTGGGATAGATGCTTTTATTAATTACAGACTTTACCACACTTGTTAATTCTTCTTGCACATGGTCTGTTTTTACCGAAGTCACAAATATGTCATGCAGATTAAAGCTGTGAACGTGACAATCCTGGAAAAGTAGAATAGCTACTGGAGTGGAACCAGCCAGCTGATACTGAGGATAATGCAGTGATTTTGTGTTGTGTTGCTGGTGTAAAGAGCATGCCTCGAGCCTTTCCCAGCAAGTGAGATGGTGTGACGAGTTTTGTTAAGATCCTGTGGCTGTGAGACTTAGTTTTTTTTATGGAAAGGTTCCTTCAGTATTAACTATTGTCCAGAAGTATGACAGGCAGGATGCTGGTTTAGTTTCTGTAGAGCTGAGGAGAGTGTGTACAGACGTTGTGATGCTAGGTGAAATGAGAGTTCTAGCTTTTGTTGCTGCTTTAGAACAGAACTACTTCTGTTGGGTGTCATTCACAGGTTTATTCAGTTTCTGGGTGCGCCCATTTTCATTTCACTGATGCCTTTGTGCCACACCTCACCATATCATGTAGCCTGGTGCTTGAAAGGATGGGAGCCCTTGATGGCTACCTGTTGATAGAGGACATTCTGGGAGGAGTGCAGTATGCACCTGCAAGCTCTGTGTGCCTCATCTCCTGCCATTTGGGAGTAAATTGAGGATGATCAGGGGACTGGAGCACCTCCTGTATGAAGATAGGCTGAGAAAGTTGGGGCTGTTCAGCCTGGAGAAGAGAAGGCTGCGTGGAGACCTCACGGCAGCCTTCCAGTATCTGAAGGGGGCCTATAGGGGTGCTGAGGGGGGACTCTTCATTAGGGACTGTAGTGATAGGACAAGGGGCAACAGGGGAACTTTAGATTGGATATAAGGAGGAAATTCTTTCGTGTTAGGGTGGTGAGGCACTGGAATAGGTTGCCCAAGGAGGTTGTGAATGGTCCATCCCTGGCAGTGTTCAAGGCCAGGTTGGACGAAGCCTTGGGTGACACAGTTTAGTGTGAGGTGTCCCTGCCCATGGCAGAGGGGTTGGAACTAGATGATCTTAAGGTCCTTTCCAACCCTAACTCTTCCATGATTCTATGTGGAAGCAAGTCCTGGATAGCTGCAAAGTTGCCATGAAAGACATGCTTCTGTACTTCTGTCTTGTGCACTTCCACAATTGCCTGGAAATGAAGGTGTGTTCATTACTGTTATTATAGAAACCATAACATGCTCATGTGAACAAAGCAAGTTTAGTGATTTATAGAAAAAGGGCAAAAAAAAAGTCTTGTGAGTTCTTCTGCAGCAGGTTAAGAATTCCCCACTCCATCTAGAGCTTTTCTCTTCGATGATGCAAGCTCAAAAGGGGAATACATACCCATGATTAAGTACATCAGATGGCATAGTTTAAACTGATATATGACTTTTATGTGGACTGTACAAATGTCTTATGTTTGGTTTATACCTGACTTCTATGTTTACGCTTTATTGTTCTACTTTCCTGGCTCTTTGATGAAATGGCTGAGGTTTTGGGCATGGCTGTACTTCCACTGACTTTGTTGTGAAAGCAGTAAACATTGTGGGATGCTCAATGCAATAACCTCTTACGCCAGTGCAGCAAGTACTTGCCAGTTTCTATAGCAGTTTGCCACTGTAGCTTTTCTCTCTTTTTGTATGTTTTCTTTTTCTGTGTCATTTTTAATGTGTGTGATTTGTTCTACATTAACAATGAAGCTCTGAAATCTTGTACTGCCTTGTTTCAATTCATTAGCAGAACAAAAAAAAGCAATAGTGAAAGCAAATAAAGAACCCAGAAGATCTTTCAGTGTAATTCAAAAGTTTTCAAACAGTGTGCAGTGGACATAGCTCAATGTATGCATCTATTGCTAAGTGTCAGGAGCAAGCAGACATGTGAGTACTCATTCACACTGTGTTCTTTGGTTTTAACAGATTTTTAAATATGACTATTCTGAATTGATCAAGTATGTAAATTTCTAAAGAAATGATTTGTTTTGCTATTGTTAATTTCAGATGCATTTTAGGTGATTCCTATTGTTCCACAGAGTAACTCTTCCAGTGCAGTTTGCCAGAGTTTCGTTTCCAAGTGATTTAGGAGGTGCTGAACTCTTTCATTATTCATAACTGCTTTATAGCACTCTGTTCTAACACTGTATTTTCAGAGGTAGACTAAGCTATGTCTTCCAGTTAACAAGAAAGTATCAAATCCTTAAGGACTGCTCTGAAAGCTTAACCAAAAATATACTGGCATGAATTAGAATGATTTTTGGTATTTTAATCTGACAGTAAAGCTGGACGAGACCCATGGTTTCAGGTACTTGCTTTCCATACCTACATGGCTTTTTACCTGTATCTCTGCAAATGCGGAGTGTGGTCTTTATTTTACTTTTAGAATTTCTTTTAAAGCAACCCAAACCTCAAGGCATCTGAAAACGCGCTGGGTTTTGTGTTCACTGGGGGGCAGGCCAGCAGCCATGGCCCTACCCCTTCCAAAGGCGATCCAACTGAGGAGTCAGCACAGGTCAAGGATAATGCAGCTTGGAAATGGAAGCACAAATGGGTCCTTACAACTAATCTGCTGTGCCACCCTCGTGCTGCCTCATCCCTTCCTTGAGAGATAGAGCCGATTTGTTGTCGAGCTGACAGGGGTACAGCAGGTGTATGGCTTTGGTGACACAGGTAAAAGGCTGCTTCTAGAAAAACTAGGAGCAGCGAGGATTTGCCAGGTAAATCCAGCTCCCAGATCCGGGGCAATGAGTGTGTTCTCATCTTTCGAGGAGCAGAGCCAGCAGCATAGACCACTGCTGCAGGCCTTCTGCCAGCAGCACCACAGCTGCTTTTAGATAGAACACCATCTGCTAGCCCTGAGCCGGCTTTCGATCTTCTGCAGCCTCCGCACTGCTGTAATGCAGTGGAAAACAGCCTGCAGATGCAGAGTCAAAATTGAGTCAAAATTATTGTAAGGGATTAAAATATTAGGGCACTGTTGTTTGTGCCAGCTCTAATGGAAAACAGCAGAAAAAGCTTCATCTGATCAAATTGAAAATGGTGATCAGGTTGTCAGGATTTTAGCTTAGTGTGTCTTATGTAAGTGCTCTTGTATGTCAGAGCAAATCTCCATGGAAAGCTGTTCTGTGTAGGGGTGTGAGGTGTCA